TGGGGCAGCCTCGAAAAGGCTGTGCGAGGTACTCTGTTAAAGTGCCCAGATATTAGTAATCACTTGGCAATCTACCCACTTTGAATCTACGTAGATGAGGTTCGGGTAGAGTGGATAGAAGCTTGGCAACAGTCAGCATAGAGTGGATTGAAAGCACTGCTTTCTATCCACTAGTAGATTCGAAATCTACTTAGGTAGATAGATGCAGAACCCTGCCTCGAGCATACCCATGGCCCGATCCATACACCAAGGGTCAATCCAGGGGCCAGCCGTCGGGACCGCCCATCAAACTCGCCGTTGGCCTGTCTTCTATGCGAGGCACCCATGGCGTCTACGACTACCCTCCTCGCCCACATGAACCGGGTCGAAATTCCTCGGTATCGCAAGGGCCTTTCAGTCACCTGTTACGCCTGCACCCGTGAGGGCCTCGTTGACGTTAAGCCGATGAGCATTTGGGGCTGGGTGACGCACGCTCGGGCGGCCCACAGCTGGTTTCTTCCTGGCGTAGAGCCGTGCCTTCTCTGCGGGCATCTCTGCGCTCCAGGGTCAGGCTTCCAGAGACATTTCACTGCCCAGCACAGCGACAATTCGGGGAAGCCTCTGGAGTGCGCCGCATGCGTCGCTTCTACAATACCGGCAGTGAAGGTGCTAAGAATCGATGGGTTTCCGGAGCTCCTCCGGCATGCCGTGGAAAAGCACCCTTCGGGACAGGCGGTGCCAAATGCTGTCGGAGGGAAGCGCAAGAGGGACGACGACGGTGACGGAACGTGTCCCGCGCCTGCCGCCAAGCGCACGAAGGGCGACGGCGACGGAAAGTGTCCCGCTCCAGCCGCCAGGCGCACAGAGAGCGACGGCGAACGGGAGTGCCCGGCTCCACCCTCCAACAGCAAGCGGGCCGCCAGGCACAGAGTGGCGTACAAGAAGGAGCTCTCCCCCGTTGCGATTTACGATGCCGACAGCGACCCGTGCGAGGACGTGATCATCTGCGCATCGACTGTCAACGAGCAGCAAACCAGCCATTTCACGAAGAAACCTATGGGCTCAAGTGCGGCCCTGGACCCTGAGTTTCTGGGCAATGTCGACCCCGCGCTTCTCGCTCCGCGGCAGCCAGCTAGTGCTGTCCACACTGCTGCGATGCTCTCAGACCTTCAAACGCCAGAAGCGCTCAAGCGGCCGCGGCGTCACCGGGGCCGCTGCCATGGCTAAGCGGGGAGGATCTGGTGGCTGGGTCTTGAGGCTGGACGACAGGACGGTCGTAGACTAAGTACATAATTATGCTTATACATGTTAGATGTCAACATTTTCAACACGCTATTATATCTCCTATGTGACTCGCATCGCCAGTGAGGTGTTCAGTTTCTCGGGGGAGGTAAGTTACGGCGGAGGTATGGCGCAGTAAAGTGTAAGTGTGGGCAGGCAACGAAGCCATGCCGACAACCGGGCTGAGCCAGCCAGGCGGCCGAGCCATTGCCGGCGTCCCGGCATGGCCGGTCGGATGTGCCGGTAGCCGGCTCAAGCGGTCGTCGGCTACGGTACGCGGGCTGCGGATGGCTCTTTGGAGCATACCAAGTCGGGATGACCATGGCACAGTTGCGTGGAACTTACAATGACTACCTACGTTGGTTAGATGATTCATCCAATATACTCAATGAAGCAAGAAGACACTGATACGTGAACTGAACTATTTACAATGGCTCGCGAGCTGTTGTTGATACCGCGCGACAGCCGTCGCTTAGTCGCCCTATGGCAACAGCATCAATGCCAACGCCTACGCGAGCCTGCACTGGGCTCGGCCCGCTTACGTTAGTTACAGGTTTTAATTGCCGCTTAGGGTTAGGGTTCATTCACTTACACGTTCCCGTCCCGATTTCGTGTTCCCGTTCCGGCAGCCCACCAAGGTACAGCCAACCGCTGGCACGGGCATAAGGACAGGCTGCTCCAGAGGCTCAGGGCAAGAGGTATACCAGAGGCTCTGGTTAGGTGGATTGATGCCTTTTGCTCTCGGCGCACAGCAACCATCGTGGTGAACGGGTTCACGTCTGAACGGCAAGAGTTGCCCCAAGCGGGTTTGCCACAAGGATCACCGCTGTCCCCGATATTGTTCCTCTTCTTCAATGCAGACCTGGTACCGCACAAAATTAACGCGAACGGAGGCTCAATTGCTTTTGTTGACGACTACACGGCCTGGGTTTAGGCCCAACAGCAGAGGCGAACCGCTCAGGCATCCAAGCCATCATAGACAGGGCCCTGGATTGGGAAAGACGAAGCGGCGCCCAGTTCGAGAGCGAAAAGACGGCCATTGTACACTTCACAAGGAACAAGGAGCGATCCTCCGAAACGCCGTTCACAGTCAGAGGGGACACAATCAAACCAAAGAAGAGCGCAAAGATCCTGGGGGTAACAATGGACTGCGAACTCCGTTACAAAAAGCACATTGCCAAAACGGCAACCAAGAGTCTCACAGCCGTTCTGGCCCTGAGGAGGCTGAAGATGCTTTCCCCGCGAACAGCAAGACAATTGTTTGTAGCGACAGTGGCTCCCGTCATGGACTACGCGGTCAGCGTCTGGATGCATGCGTGTAGGGGAAAGGCGCTAAGCTGGCTGAACAGGGCCCAGAAGATCGGCGCCCTAGCAATCACAGGAGCCTTTCGGACCGTGGCTACGGCTGTAGCAGAAGCCGAAGCGAGCATTCTCTCCATACAAGAACGACACACCCGGGCGGCAGCCAGACTATGGATCAACATTCAGACATTGTCTGGGACTCATCCCCTAACTTGGAAGAAAATCCGGACAACAACACGATTCGTCTCCCCGCTTCAGAAGATCGCCAGTATCGCGGAAGGTGTAAAAGTCGATCAAATGGAAACAATCCAAGAATACGCCATCGCTCTCTGGGCACCTCGCCTACAGCCGACGATCGAGGTTGACCGAGAGAAGGCGACCAAGATGGCCAACGGAGCCATGGGCATCGTGATTGCAACAAGCTCATCCGTGAAGAAAGGCATTGTCGGTGTTGGTGGCATCGCACGAGACACTCTCTTCAACAGGACCAGCGAGACCGTGACAAGATTTGCTGTAACCCTTGGCACGAGGGAGGAGCAAAACCCATACACAGCAGAACTAGCAGCCATCGCAATGGCCTTGGAGAGGATTCCGGCCAACGCCTGCCATAGGCACATCACCATCGTCACCAGGAACCAGTCAGCGCTAGCAGCAATTAGGCAACCGCGACAACAGTCTGGCCAAGGCACTATACGGCAAATTTACAAGTTGGCTAAACTGCACCAAGAAAGAGGGAACTCGGTCGATTTCCTGTGGATCCCAGCGGAAGCCAACTTTACTTTGGGCCTAGAGGCCAAGGCGGCAGCGCAAAGGACAACGAGGCAAGGACAGATACCCAACCTCCAAATGCCCCAAGCCAAGTCCACCGCAATCAGGCTGGCATTGGTCAAACAACGACAGGGGAGAGCTCTCCCGGAAGGCGTAGGCAAATTCTCAAAGGATCTGGACGTAGCACTTCCTGGCAAGCACACTCGCGATCTCTACGACAAGTTGAAACGAAAAGAGGCCTGTATCTTGGCACAACTCCGAACTGGAATGGCGAGGCTGAACGGCTTTCTAAGCCGAATCGGAGCGGTCGAGTCGGACCTTTGTCCTTGCGGCCGAGCGAGGGAAACCGTGGAACATTTTCTATTGCGATGCGTGAGATGGGAAGCTCTGAGGGAGGACATGTTGCAATGCACAGTGGCAAGGCGAGGGAGCCTCTCATTCTACCTGGGAGGGAAAGCACCATCGGATCCAAAGATGTGGTCACCAGACATGAAAGCAGTCCGGGCAACGATCAAGTACGCAATGGCGACAGGGAGATTGGATCTTGACGAGGAACAACGAAGATTGGGACAATCACAGTAGCGGAACTCCACTAACACTACACAGCCTCAGCCAGCAGATCCCGCTTTAGCTGCTGAAGATAGGACGCTGAACACTTGGAGAACGCAGCCTCCAAGTCGATCTGCCGAAAACCAGGTCAAGAGGCAACAGTTAGTGGCGTGAGGAAGGGGAAAGAGTAGAGGGCTAGTACGAGTTGTTGACCAAACGTCAACGAATTGGATGTAGTTAGCGTGCCAAGGCCCTTTAGGCTTCGTGTCTCCGGGCGGAATAAATTCCATCCATCCATCCACGACAAGAGCTAGCCCCGCCGGGCAGCATCGCCCAAAATCCCAAACCAACACAAATCGCATCACCACTGCCCACACCGCAGGGCTTCTTCACGCGGATACGATGGAAGACGAAATTGCAAGGTTGCGGCAAGCGCTTGAAGAAGAGCGACGCCGACGCGAAGAAGCCGAGAACCGTGCGTCGCAGGAGCAACACCGACGCGAGGAGGAGCAACGCCGACGAGAAAAAGCAGAAGAGATCGCGGAAAATTTACAGCCACTACGACTGGAGCCTTATCTTGAGGCTTGTCACACTCTCAGTCTTGCCATCAAGGTAGTCACCGACCGTTCCTTGACCACACAGGGCGACACCACCAACCCTGCCGGTCGGGTGTACCCCCGGCGGATCCTTCCATGGGATGACTTTCCCGCAAGGCAGGAGGAAATCTGGAATCGAATGTTCGAGCCGTCCTTCGCCTCCCGACATACGTTCCCATCCCAACACACACCAGCTGGACTATGTGCAGTCTCTCATTACACCCATCAGCAGCGAACACGGCCTCCGGTACTACGAGCGCGACACCGTGGAGAATGCGGTGCAAAAGCTGGTTGATGCGGTATACGAGAACCCGGTGCTTCGAGCCAGCATTGGCCTGCGTGGAACCGTGACGTTTGAGAGTCACACAAATCTCGGCACCGTCGATGGCAGTCTCTCCGTACCTCCGGAACCCGCGCCCATCTCCGGGAGTAGTGCAGGGGAAGCTGCGCTCGCACCGCCTGCAGCGGTCCGCAAACGCCGCCGTGTTGCGAAAGGAAAGGGCAAGGGCAATCGGGCGGACCAGTTCTGCATATACAGAACATCGGATGGCGCAAACATCCCGGCGACAGCAATAGAGTACAAGGCGCCACACAAGCTGAGCCAGGACGAGTTGGTCACGGGCCTGGTGCCCGAAATCCAACCGGAGCGAGACGTGATTAACAGGGACGGCGATGGCTTCGCATTCGCAGCGAAGGCGCTTGCTACTGCCGTCGTCACCCAACTCTTCTCCTACATGGTCGGGAGGGGCATTCAGTACAGCTACGTCTGTACAGGGCAGGCCTTCGTCTTTTTGCACATCCCGGATGACCCGACCATGGTCTACTACTACGTGTGCGTGCCGAATCAAGACGTTCTTGATCACGACGAGAACAGGCTTCACCGTACGGCCGTCGCACAAGTCTTCGCCTTTGTCGTCCAAGCTCTCCGTGCGTCGCCTCCTCCGTTGTCTTGGCACGACGCTGCTGCGGACCTTGATACCTGGGCCGTAGAGTACGACGACGTGCTGAGCAAAATCCCCCCATCGGTCGCAATGACCAACGCCGCGTTTCCCTATACAAACCCCAGCGTTGGGACGGCTTCACACGCTCGCCGATTCGGACCCGTTCGCGCTGCGCCCAGATGGACAACAACAAAGTCCATTCTCGAGATGATGATGACGAAGAGGATACCCCTCCTTCTCCCAGTGTGGAGCGGCTCAGTCGCCCGGGAAGGCTGGCTGCGGCGTCTGGCACCAGTTCCGGCAACAGACGAGGCCGGCGTGGCAGAGGAGGAGGGCAGCAGGACGGGGCGATACAACAAAGAGTACAAGACCATCCGTACTGCACGCATCAATGCCTCCTTGGGGTGGTATCTGGGGGACCAATAGACCAGGCCTGCCCTAACGCTGGTAGACACGGATCAAGACACATCAGCCAGGTGGAGTTCCTGCATTCCCTTCGAGCTCAGCTGGCTAAAGACCGCGGGCCTGATGCGGATTCTACCCCGTTGTACTTGTCTGGTTCTGTCGGGTCGCTGTTCAAGATTCGACTGTCGGCTTACGGATATACGCTTGTCGCCAAAGGCGTAGAGACCGGACACCTCGGGCGTCTATCATATGAGAAGAACATTTACGACCAGTTGCACCATATGCAGGGAAACCACGTCCCTGTGTGCCTTGGCCTGATAGATTTGGTTCTGCCATACTACTTTGATGGCCGTGAGTTTGAGCACTTCCTGCTACTTAGCTGGGCTGGGCAGCCCCTGTCCAAGTGCATCGACGGAATCAACAAGACAGTCGCCATAGATCTGGCAACGAAGGCGTATTCCGAACTTCATCGGCTGCAGGTCCTCCATGTCGATGCAGAACTTCGCAACATGTTATACGACGAAGTCAGAGGGACTCTAATGGTTATCGATTTTGAGCGGGCAGAGTTTCGCGGCCGCCAACCTCTCGGCTTGATCAGCCCAAACGGCCAAGGTCGGAAGAGGAAGCGCGGTTTGCAGAAGCAAGGGAAAGACGACTTCACGGAGGAACTGAAATCCGTAGTCGAGCGCGTTTCGATGCGTTTCGGTGATGCTCTGCCAAGTGGCTTGAGACCATCAGTGAGCAGCTCGGACCGGCATGCTAAAGTTTCATCTGCTATGCACTTCGCCAAACTGTCTCGCCATGCAGTCTATCAGTCAGAATGATTTGTTATAGTCTGGAAATCCTCTTTGGAGCAATTCACTCTGGTTACCCCAAAAATTCCAAATTGAAAACATCTCAGCCGTCGGCGCGGGGGTCCGGGACCGGGACGGCCTGGGACCGGCTCCGGTGGCGACGGAGCGTAAGCAGCGTACCTCGACAAGCGCTTCAACGGGCGGGGGCCGCCGTAATGGCGTTGGCCTGGGCTCGCCCAGACACCGAAGATCTGCCGCCGGCCCGCGTTTATCGACTTGCGACAGGCCGCTCAGGCCCGGGAAACACGTGAAAAGGACGGCCCCCATTAACCCTCCCAATCTGTGCTTCCGATCCTCGACACATCGGTATTCAGAACCGATGATGCCTTTAAGCAGCCTACAACCAAATGGAATAAGGGACAATAGGCTCAAATAGTTGTCCGCGCGGAGCCAGAGGACAAGCTTCCAGTGCAGTGGCAGACGCCGTTGCCGTCCTCACTCGTCTTCGCCTTGTCGGGATCGTTCGTAGTAGGAACCGAAGCCGCCTCCATTCTGTTCTTCCGCCATGCTTGACAGGACTGCGAAGGTCTGACGGATTGGCGGGAATGGTCAGCGGAAATGGTGAATAAGAGGCTGGGGCGGCACATTGCGCCGGCATAGAGAACCGTGCTAAGCTGACAAGACCATGAGCGGCTTTTTCGCATTTCTGGAGGCTGGTAGCGCTGTACCTCTTTCTCCCCGTTGAGCGGCTGACGCCGAGCGGTGGATGGATGGATGGAATTTATTTCGCCCGGAGGCGCGAAGCCTAAAGGGCCTTGGCACGCTAACTACATCCCATTCGTTGACGCTCAACCATCAACTCGTACAAGCCCTCTACTCTCTCCCCTTTTCTCACACCACCTGTTGCCTCTTGACTTAGTTTAGCAGATCGACTTGGAGGCTGCATTCTCCAAGTGTTCAGCGTCCTATCTTCAGCAGCTAAAGCGGGATCTGCTGGTTGAGGCTGTGTAGTGTTAGTGGAGCTCCCCT